CAACCTATTATAGTTTTGTGTCATTTATGTCCCAACTTATTATAGTTTTGTGTCATTTATGTCTTAACCCGAACCATTCAGAATGTGCCATTTGTTAAATACTAATGGTCAACGCCGGTCAACTGTAACGAAAAATAGTTTAGGACACAAATGTCATATTGGATACTTTATGACACAAATGACACATTCTTAATAGTTTGAGTTTCCTAGTGGTATTATCCCAAAAAATAAATACAATATATTAGTCACAACTATTCTGAAGTGGGAAATTATAGCCACAACTATGAAAATTCAAATTCTTAGCCAGACGTTAACTCTCTGTTAACACTTCCAAAATAATTCTTATTAAACTTTTATTTTGAAAGTTGTCAATTAAAAGCAGTCCGAACGTGGTCGATGAGGTGGCATTCTCCGTTAAAAATTCAATAATAGTAACGGACAGTTAGCCATATCTTGACTCGCAACAATAATTATGACTAATAATTTGAATTTACATAGTTGTGACTATAATTTCTCGCTTGATAATAGTTGTGGCTAATATATTGCATTTACTATTTACACTAAAAAATAAAAAACTGAAAAGACACATGCATCCTTCCCGTTAGTTACTCTCAGTGCTTCAATTTAAGTTTTAACCCCTCAGGTGGAATCTCCTTATATTTATGTGTACATAGACAGATAGATGTAGATAACTAATTAAAATAATTCAAACATATTTTTATATTTCATTTACATTATATCATATTATAGTTTGAGAGAAATTCTTGAGTGCTCCGACGCATATCCTATGTGGTACACCGTCCCAATCACATATTAACACATTATTAATAATTTCATATTAGAACTTTTTATTTAATTAAATCCCTATCTATGTGTGAAGAGAGCAGTCAATCCCAGCGTCGATTCCGATCCCCGACATTGAATTATAGAGTAATCGACAACCACCTCATTCACTGTCAACTATCTCATCCACGTTCTACTCTTCCATCCATCGACTATCGTCGTTCATCGTTCCTTGCAGCAGCTCCACCGGCGATGTTCCTCGACGGTGCGAACCCTCTTTTACCAATTCACCGCGCGAGGCATACATCTTCATACAGAATCCAGCATCCGTAGGGAAACTTTTGAAATGATGGAGTTGGATTCGGCGTCGAGATTCCATTGCTTTCTTCATACGCACAAAAAATAGCGCCAACTAAGTCGTGCACCGCTCCAATTAAAACATGCCACGTTTGAATTTGAATATATTCAGAATTAATAAATAATAATTATAGCAATCCTGGGCTGGGCATCGGAAAGCCGTGGTGGACGGGATTACCCGGCGCCCTTTTAAACTCCATCCCAACTCCTAACTTAATTGATTTCTTTCACCTAAGAATCTCCAGTAGTTTGATGGATGTGTTCGCTACAATTATCGGAGCTATATCAGAAGTTTCAGATTTTTTTTTTGTCAAAAGATATCATATATTAATCCAAAAAATAGGCAGTTACATCCTGGAAACCAGTCAAGCCCGAAAATCAAAGAAGCGACTCATAGTCGGATACAAGGAAAGGGCTTTTCTAGCTACCGAATGAGCTACCCTATTGTTCTCCCGACCTACAAAACGCACACTAAAACCAGGCTGGGTACTTAAAAAATGACGTATCTCTTCCAGGACAGCACCCAACCAGTTGTCTCTTGTGTCGCCTTGATTAATTTTGTCAATAATCACCTTCGCGTCACCCTCAAACCGGACCTCCGACAAGCCACACTCCACACACCAAATCATTGCCTCCCAAAGCACAAGAAATTCCACCACTGCAGGCTCATCCAACTGCGGAAACTGAATCCCCCTTGCCAGAACGAGCGTCCGCGCCAGGTCAAGTACTACCATCCCACCAGCCGAATGTGACCGACCCTTAGTAGCCCCATCCCACATGCAAACCAACCGGGAATCCCCCACATGAGTAGTTGATTGAATCGACGAAATCATCACCATAGGAGCCTGATCTGCTGGCAAGCCCACCCATTCCTCATATTGTTGGTTGAATTGTCGCATGAGCGCCGGGATCCCAAACTGTTTGACTTCAAAGACAACCCAATTACGAGAACGCCATATCAACCAAAGGATGGCAACAACCGCCATCACCAAGGCCGGCTGATGGATCAACGCCAACAGACGTTTGAGGAATAATGGAAAAGTGTGCTGAGGCAAACCCTCCCCCAAGTAATCCACCCCTGAATAATCCCAGAGAGCCCGCGCAACCGGACAATAAAGGAACAGGTGTTCCATCGTCTCCGGGCCATCCCAACAAACTGGACACCTAGGCAGCACAGGAACCTTTTTCTCAATAAGTGCCTTCGTAGTTGGAAGAACCCGATTAAGAATTTGCTAGACAAAGACCTTCAGCTTCGGGGGGGATCTTAGCCTCCCACACCCTAATCCAACTCGGCTTATCCATCCAACTAGCCGAGGATCGCCACCCACCCCTCCTCCTGTCCAGCTCAACAACCAAATGGTAGGCCGACTTTACCAAGAAAACCCTGTCCGTCGTGCAATGCCAAATAAGCTTATCAATCACATTTTGACGCGGGAGAGGAATAGCCTTAATGACCCTGCAGGTAGGTGGTTCAAACCATTGACTGAGCTTTTCATCAGACCACCGTCCTTCCCCTTCACAAATCACCTCCGCCACCAAGGGATCACCTCCCTCAGGCAAGATCCGCGGATTATAACAAGGGGGATCAAGTTGGTACACCGGAATCCAATTAGAATGGAGGAGAGAGGCCGATTGGCCAATACCAACCTGCCATCTTAAACCCATCTCCAATACCTGTCGTCCGTGCAGGATACTCTGCCACCCCCAAGAAGGACGAGACCTAGCCGTCGCCGTAAGGAATGATCCTTGAGGGAAATACTTTCCTTTATAAACCTGAGCGAGGAGGGACTGAGGCTCATTTAGAATACGCCAGCCTATCTTAGTCAGGAGAGCTTGGTTGAAATGCTCAAATTGGCGAAATCCCATCCCCCATCATGCTTACTCCTGCATAGATTATGCCAGGATACAGATTTTTTTTTGTATCGTTAAAATCTACGTTTCTCACAAATTTTGGACACAGATATGCCAGCTGACACATCTCCGTACTTCTTGGATCTGTCTCTTAGTTTTATCACTGATTCATTGTAGCTAATAAAGTTTTATCTAATTTAGCAGCTTAATCTAGGGTTAGAATTATGGATATGTACTAATAAACTTTTTTCCTAATTTATTGTTATTGAAATTCTATAAGATCCCTATTTTTTTACCTATCGCTTCTTCAACTTTTCTTACTTTTTTCCTTTCAATTTTTTAAAAGAATTTGCATGTACTTTTGCTAACTAGGAATGGTAAACTTGTACAATCTCAGAGACATCTGATTTGTATGTACATTTGCTAACTAGGAATGGTAATATTATACAATTTCACAGGCATTCAACTGATTTCGAACCAATTTTATCAAGACATTGTACAATCTCCCTCGTTATACATTGAAAACATCCGGGGTCGTTTGGATGTAGAAATTTTAAAACGTTGAAATTTGTCTGAATTTTCATGTTTTACAAAATCAAGGAATTGGCTTGTGGAAATTGAAAAAAAAATCACGTTTGGATAGGGTTTAGTTTTGTGGGAATTGATGGTGTGGAATTTGAAAAAAGAAGTAAGAAAACGTGGTAATGTCAAATTACTAGGGGGAGTTGTAGTATTTCTCAATTACCATGAATGTGATAATTGAAGCCAATTTTCATGGTCCATTTTCCATACCATTTTTGCACTCCCAAACGTGGATTTTTAACCCAATTACTACGTTATGTAGTAATTGAGTCCAATTACTGCATTACATTTCCACATCCAAACGACCGCATAGTGTATATAGGACTAAGATGAACCATCAAACTACAAAGAGAGAGAGAGAGAAAAAAAACCAATTTCACTCTTATCATTATGCAATTTTGAAACCCAACCATGGATATTAATATGACAAAGGTATTATCATGCCATGACCATGAACTTTTAATGTTGTGAAATGTACTTCTCCCGATAGCAACTTTTTCCGAACTTAAAACCGGCCAGCATTACAAAATTTGATAAAAATTTGACTAATTTCCGGTGATTACAAATTTTGTCATCCAAAACGGCCCCGACAATTTTCCTGGCCATAGATTCAGTTAAGTAGGTAACCAAATTAATCGATAAACTAATTATTTTATCCCCTTGGACGGCTCCAATTGATTCTGATTCTTCTTCTTCTTCCAACCCCAATTCTGGAGTTAATCTGAAAGATGTCTTTGTTTATTTTTTTTTTTTTTTGTCTTTTCTTCTCAGTTCCTTGGATTTTATTCGTGTGCGTGGTGGTAATAGTCCGCAAAGTATTATATCTTCTTTTTTTTTTGCGGTGGGAATCTAGTTCCGATCTCATTTGTGTGGTGAAAGAATGATCATATAATCAAAGCTAAAGCAATTTTCCGTGATATATGGCATCATCGTGTGAAACTAGAGTGTGGTGGAGATGAACCCATGCCCCCTAATCCAACTCATCATATACTTAAAATTATCTTATGACATTGAAATTTCCCAACACAAAGATGATGGTGGTGGTGATGATATGTGTGAAACCTGAGTGAAATTTCTCAACTCATTTATATAAGGTTGAGTATGAGTTTTTTTAATGGGTAGAATACGAATAAAATAATATCTATTATTAATTCAAACAGTCTCCCCAATCTCGATCTCAATATTTAAGAATGTTCATGCACAAACAATTGCACCATATAAATACTTAGCAAAGAACATTGAGGGATAACAAGTTTAGCATCACCAACATAATCAACAAGATTAGTTATGAATCAATGCTCAGTGGTGCATGAATTTATCGCATCTCACCAAAATGTATCTCTATATACTTTTTTTTTTTGGAATAGCTCCTCCCTTTCTGCGCTGTATTCTCTATAGAAATTCTGTGTATACCACCCATGTAAATTATTTTAATTCTACCTTTATTGTCTTTGTAATTCGAAGTTAATTAATTCAATTCTTGTATACCCTCTACCTTTACAATGAATAAAAATTTCAGTAAGTAATCATTAAAAACCTAATCTTGTGCCAATGATCCATCATCACAAGATAAATATTAGATATAATAATCATAAACCAATTAATCATAAAAGTACTAATTAGGCTAGCCTATTTAGTCCTAGGGGTACACACGATCATTATTCTTCCACTAATCTACTCAGATTTTATTGTGTGGCGGTGGATGATTATGATAGTCCACAAGTCTAATTTAATTTTATTGTTTTCTCCTGTGGGAATTCGGTTGATGGACTCATAGTCCATGCGGATGATTAGTTGGCCCACGCAGGGAGGAATGAGGCCACGATGAAGAATGACGTCCACCCACGTAAGGCAGTAAATGAGCCGAGCTGAGTCGAGTTTTACCCCAGTTTGAGCTTGACTCGTTAACAAATGAGTTGAGCTCGAGCCCGAACTATTTATTAACGAGCCGAGTCAAGTCGAGTCGAGTTCGAGCTAGGCTTGTTTACTAAATTCTTAGATCGTATTTGATACATTCATTTTGTATGTCGTGCATGGTACATGTGATTGATGTAGCGATAAAAAATATTCAAATGTTCAACATTAATTAATCTTATATTATAATTTTTAGGTGTCATATTGTTTAGTTAATAAATTTTAACTAGTTCAAATCATGTTATTTCATAGCATCGAAACAATTTTGTACATAATTTCTTTATAGAATTAAAAATAAGGAATATTTTCTTACATGTTCAACATGTTAAACTTCACATGATGTGAGATATATAATTTAACAATCCTATGAATTATTAAAGTCCAAATTAGATCGATTAGTCCATAAGCCGGTGATCAAGTTGGCCCTCAAACCACAATGTTGAGACATCTCAGGAGCTATAAATGAGCCAACTCACGAGTTGAGGTCAACAAGCCACCGAGTCGAGCTAGCTCGCAAGCTTCACGAGCTGAACAAAGCTAAGCTCAAGCTTGGCTCGTCAATAAACGAATCGAGTTTCGAATGAGTTTTTTCCAATTCGAGCCTCGAGTTGCTCGCGAGTAGCTTGGCTCATTTGCAGCCCTGTACACATCGTTAAGAGATGGGCCAACCAGCTGGGTTAGCTGCTGCTGCTCGCGAAGCTGTTACGGTAGCTGTTAGCATCTTATTTTGGGCTTAGAGACCTTGCAGCCCAGTTATGTTTTTAACAATAAAAAATATCCGGTCCATCAATTTCTTATGGCCCAACACTTTCTTCTTCGTAATGGTTGCCAAAGTCGACAAACCAGATTTCCAATCTGTTTGTTTTTGAATGGTGCTAAAGTTTTTTGGGTTATAGGTATAATATGTCCTTTTATTATGACGTTTTATCAAACATGTCCCTCTACTATTTTTTTACATCAAACATGCCCCTGTAATTTGGAAAAACTATCAAACATGCCCTTCAGTTGAAATTTCCATTGAAAAATTCGTCAATCATGGTTGAACCGAGATTTAGACGACTTGACATCGATAAATGGGAGGGGAAATGTCAGTTTTGACCCTTGCTTTATTTCTCTAGGTCTCATCAAAGTCAAATTATTATAATTATTTGGCTATACAAAAGAAGAAAAAAACTCTAAAGTGAAATGATTAGAGATATTTTAGATATTTGGGTCGCCCAAACCAAAGTTCGGTCTTGGTTAACGGTTTTTGGATGAAAATTTTAGCAAAAGGGCATGTTTGATAAGTTTTTCAAAGTACAAGGGCACGTTTGACGTAAAAACTAGTAGAAGGGCATGTTTAATAAAACGTCATAGAAGAGGGGCATATTATACCTATAACCCAAGTTTTTTTTTATATCTTAAAATTGATAATCGGCTGCTCCATCCAACCTTCATGTATGGTTCACCAAGAAAGGAAGCGAGTTACTGTTAGTCGATGAGGTTCCCAAGTGATAAGGAGACCCACAATCTTCAACAGCAGCAAGTTCCATTTCTTCTTTTCCTTCTCTAGCCTTTCCCCATATCACACCATAAAACCCAGCAGATATCACCACTGCCCCAGCAACACTGCAATTATATCCACAAAACCCAGAAAGGGTAAAGGACTAAAGGTTCAATCGTCTCAAATGGAAGACAACACCTTCACTGCAAATAAATACATACCTTCCAAGATGGAGATCGTCTCCAAGGAACACCACCCCCATGGCCGCCGCGATTGCGATTGACAGTGGCTTGAAGATGGCCACAAAAACTGGGCCTTCCAAGTGCAGGCACCATGTATGAACGATTGTGTTCAAAAACCCTCCAAAAACCCCCTTAATATCATCAACATAGGAAAGGTAACATTAATCAAATGAAGATGCCTCTGTAAGTAAAGAATCCCATTAATGGTCTTATGAAATTCTAATGATCTCACCCCGTATAGAACAGCAGCCAATTTTATATCAGGGTTTGTTAGGATCCATGCATCAATATCTGTTTCTCCCACAAAAGATGCAGCTAGTGATATTGCACTGGTGCACATTGTAATATACAGTGCTACTGAAAACTCTGCTGGATACATCTTCAACACTTGAGCCTGCAGATCACAATATTGTTTCCCCAATGAGGCCAGTAATTTCGAATGCACAAGCATTATTGCTGAACTAATGAATAGGTACCTGAACAATATAGCCAAGTGAGAAAAGGAGATGCTCAGTAGCAATCAAGAGTCCACCAAGAAGCCAGTAATTTGAGTGAGAAGTGCCATCTGCTGCTACAAGTTCTTCAGGTGATGAAAAAGTGGACAAAATTGTTGGACCTTTGAAAAGCACCACAACTATTGCTCCTGATATGGAAGATACTGTGCCAATTATCTTGGCCTGAGAGCTTGGTCTGCTCAGTGACAACCTTTCCATCCTTCGAAGAACAACAACAGCAGAAAAAATAGAGTTTCTTGGGAGACAAGAAATGCCAGGAAAATTGCAGAGTGTTTACCTGAACATGACAGCAAGTATGAATGTAAAAGCAGGGTTCAGGGTTCCAATGGCTGCTGCTAGAGTTGGGGAGCTGAATCCTATTCCTTTATATCCAATCACAAGACCCACAAAGCCAATTACACCAAGAAGAAGAATCCTCACAAAAAGAGGTCTCTTGTGCTGGGGAAGTGGTATGGTTCTGCAAAAAAAGAAAACAAGAGTGGATCAATCATGTTACCCATCGATTTTTCGCCGTGTATCGTGGCTATGGTGTTACAGAAGTGGTTGAAGCAAGTGACCTGTTGAAGACTAGATGAAAAGGGAGGAACAATAGAGCTGCTATGATGGAAGTGTAGGCAACAAAGACATAGTAGCCTAGTCCCTTCAAGCTTGCTGCTTTGAACAGAGTGTTCAAACCCACCGTGAAAAACTCCATGGTGATCATGGATATCAATGGCAAGGATTCTTTGTACAGAGATCTTGACGGCGCCATTTTGCTTCCCTTCCTGTGCTCCCTGTTGTCCAGCTTTGATCAGAGAGCAATGATTCGGTTCCCTCCAGTTTAGAGAAGTTGATCCCCTCAAGTTACTAGATTTGGCATTGGTCATTGTTGTGAATTAAAGCGGTTGGATTCGTTACCTACCAAGTAGAATTTGGTTTACGAAATATGCAAGAAACCCTCTAGTGTCTTCATTTTAGCTGGTAACGTATGTACAACCAACTTTCTCGTATAATGCATAGGGTTGGAAGATGTGTTCTCAGGTTCGGATCCTGTAACTTACCATTGTGACAAAAGTTGTCGAGGATCACGGTTTATAGAAGAAGATGCTAAAGAAATTTAGATGTATCCGTTTATCAAAGGAATTGATGACAGAGAGCTTGTGTTACATGGGTTGGTTAGTGGGTTTGGTCACAGATGAAGTATAGAGGTACTAACAGTTTTTTTTTTTTTGAACAATATTCATTAAGTATGCAAATGGGCAAGCCCAATGGAAAAGGTTACAGAACAATCATAAAACAACAAAGACCAAGAAACTAAGCCCAAAACCGAAGCCCAACACCAATCTGGAAACCCAATAGGGCCCAGAAAAGGGCCTGGACCGAGCCCAGATCTCAACCCTAGCAGCCTCATGAGTGCCCCTTGCTCCGCACCGCCGTTGGTAGCAACAGCAGCCGTCCCTCCCCGAAAAACCCAGCACGACGACAACCAACAAGAGGGAAAGCTCGGCTCCACCATCCCGGATCGAAGGCAGTAGAAGCAACGCGAGAAGCCTCCACCATCACCTCGTCGGTCCTAACCCCGTAAGCTCCCCGTCACCATGAAACAACGCGAGAGACTTCTGAACGAAAGGACGGTCGGTGACGAGCTCAAGAGGGTAACCTTCAGTCTTCAAGAACGTCACTCCGAGTCCAAGCACGATGGCCACATCTCCGAATCACCTAGATCTGCAGGGTGAAGCAAGGAGGTGGACGAAGGGGGAGACGAAGAGAAGACAAGCCGGAATAGATCCAACCTCCTTTGCAACTTAGACAGATAAACATCTCCAGATCTGAATGCTCAAACCAGAGGGCAAAAAATCATCCCAACAACAAAGGGGGAAGAAGCTTCACAGAGGGAAGAAAAAAAAACGCCCAACCAAGGCAAGACGGAACAGAAACGAGGAAGAAAGCAGGAAATAAAATGTGAGAGACAAAGGGGGCGGAGGGCTGCCGCCAGTCGCCGGAGGAACGCCGACGGCAGCCCCCGAGATGCCAAGAATTTCGAGCTTTAGAGAGAGGTCAGAGGAAATAAAATGAGAGAGAAAGTTTGGAGAGAATGATTTTGAGGTACTAACAGTTGGTGAATGGGTAATGAGCGAGTGTACGAGTCTAGTTTTTGCAATCTTTATTCATGTTATTCACTTCTATTTCGATGATGAATGACGAAAGAGACAAATTTGTTGATAAATCGACTCCCGTGGATTTTATTGTTTTTTTTTATTAATCCGCTCATTCAACTGCCAACCCGCTATCTGCCCAACCCAGCCCGAAATGGAATGTGTGTGGTTGGTGGATCAAAACTAGGGCTGGCAGTTCGGTTTTCGGTTAGCGGATAACCGTCGGTTACAACCGAACCGACCGGTTTTCGGCTAACCGAAAATCGAGACTAAAATTACTTCGGTCGGTGGACGGAGGAGAATAAACAGGCTTCGGATAACCGAGCAACCGACCATTATTAACCGTGGTTATCCGAAAAAACCGAACCAAACCGACAAACCCTCATATATTGCCCTCCGCCCCTCCCTGCAAAAAAAATGACATAAAAAAGAAAAACCCATAACCCCAAACTGAAACCCTAAATCCCCTCATCAAACCCTCACCCTCACGACTCACGGCCGCCGCCCAGCTCCCTTCCTTGTTGCCTCACGGTCGCCGCCTTCCTCCGTTCCTCGCCGGCCGCCGCCATGCAGATTCTTCCTCGCGCAGCCACCTCGTCCAGATCTCCTCCTCATCGCGTCGCCTCGCGCAGCCGCCTCCATCCTTCCTCTTTCCCGTCCATCCGTCGTCGCCGTCGCCGTCCCGAGCAGATGAACCGCGTCCATCGATCGTCCCCGAGCAGAAGGAAAAGAAAAGTGAGAGAGGAGAGAAGAAGGGTCTTGGTTGGAGATTGAGGGTCCCCGAGCAGAAGGAAAAGAAAAGTGAGAGAGGAGAGAAGAAGGGTCTTGGTTGGAGATGGAGAGTTAGGCTTAGGTGGGTTAGCAGAGGCAAAGGAGAGAGAGGGGAGAAGAAAAGACTTCTGTTAGCAGAGGGTCTTGGGTGAGGAGAGAAGAAGAAGAAGAAGATAAGGTGGGTCTGAAAAGGTGTGGTGGAGGTGGACCGACTTTTCTTCTATTTCTTTTTTTTATTTAATTTTTTGTATTTAATTCGGCTAACCGCGGTTATAATCGATAACCGACCGGTCGGTTAGACGGTGACCGTGTGAAACTCGTCGGTCGGTAGTGCTAGGAGGTCGCTCGGTTTAACCGAAAATCGATTTTTCGATTTTCAGTTAAACCGAAACCGACCGACTGACAGCCCTAATCAAAACTTGTCAACCCTTCTTAGAGTGGCTTGGTAAGTTATATGGAGAAAATCCACTCGAGCAATCCGATGTCAACTCCTAGTGTTGCATCCCTAGAATGAATTTGGTTTATGAATTATGAATGTTGCTTCAATTCATCTTTTACCTATATATGAGTGATGTCTGTGGAAATTGGTACGGTATCGGTATTCCAATATCAAATATCGAAATCCCGAATACCGAATTACCCCCTAAAGTCAATCCCAATCTCAATCCCTAAATAATTTCGGTATCCTAATCTCAATTCCTAAATATTTCGGTATCCCAATCGGTACTTCGGTATCCCAATCGGTATTACCGAATACAAAAGTAATTACCTTTGCAATTAATAATTAAATATATAAATTAGATTTTAGTGTTTAATTTAGGGGGAAAATACTAAGCAAAGAGTCTTGAATTAGGATATTATTAAGGAGAATGGAGGAGAGGAGACATCTCAAGTTCTTGTCATTGGTAATCGTTAATTTGACAAATTGGAGGTTGAGAGACGACTATTAATAGTGATGAAATGATCTATGTATAATTAAATGACACTCTTGGTGGTTGAGGGTCGTGCAGTAGTGAATGAGAAAGTCTAGCTGAGAGGATAAAATATACACTAGCTTATATTTCGGTATTGATAGGTATTTCGGTATATACCGATCCCAATCTCGTAATCCCTAATACCGAATAACAATTGAAATTCAATCTCAATCCCAAGAAATAATACGTGTATTCAATAATTTCAAATATAGACAAATTCGATACGATGTTCGATATATTCCAAATATCGGTACCAAACTTCCAGTCCTGCATATGACAACATTGAGTTAAGAACGGAAACAAAATTGCCCCTTATTTGTTATTTGTTTTTTTTTTCTTTTTCCTATGGGGTCATCTTAATTAGTGGAGTGGACAGTTGAAAGAAAGAAGTAAGCCATTTATGGCGTGAGAGACGTCATCATTTGTATGGAGAGAGAGGTTAACTGTTCACCATTGCAACTTGCAGGATGGGTTCTCAATGAGTGCATAACATTTTCTGGAGGAAATCCCAGTATCCGGGAGAGGATGAGAAGAATTGGTTATACACTTATACTTGATAGTCTTGTTTGTTTTTTTTTATGGTTGATAGATATATATCTAGTGGCCGATTCAGGTGCAAGCATTTTCGGGTCACGATGCAACTTTCTTTTGAGTTCAGAGAAAAATTTATTTAGATATTCGGTCAATTGCTAGACGGGTCATGACTTAGTTCTCTGCACCTCTTTTCAAATGCGATCCAGTGATTTACAATGTCTTGGATCCGCTGCTAAATTATGTACTGGTTTTCGGTATAGTTAGACTCATACGCGAGTGTAAACATTGGGAGGAGTTTATGTTATTGCATCTCCCATACTTAAATGACAATTTTGATTAACTATAAAAAAAAGTTGTCAATTTTAATATTATTTATACATTTTTAATAATTATTTTAATACTTTTATTACTATTAGTGTACTATTAGACTAACTATTACTTTAGAGATGAAGTGAAATACGTGTATGTATGTTATATGTAACTTATCTATACTGTATTTTACTATTTATAATATATATCGGGTCGTTTGAATGATGAACTCTAATCCCTCGTTTAGTATTCATTCTGTTTTTTGATTTATGGACAACAGAAAAGGGAATCTGAAGAAAAGAAATCTATCATTTTCTGTGAAATAACACTTGAAGAAAACTTGTTTAGCTGAGAATTTAGAAAAATCTGAAACCTGAAATTAAAAACTTGTTTAGACGCCATTGTTACAAATTGATATCTATTTTCAATAGGAATGTTGTTTTATTATACCCATACTTCCTTTCCTTCAACCACTACATAATCATTCTTGTTTTGGGCCTCAATATTGTCTATGATTCGGCACAATCAAGAGATTGGCATGCATGGGTTAATTAGAGCCTTGTACATTTCTCATCCGAGATTAACCCAGTTGCCTAAATTGGGATGGGATGTTTATATACAGTGAATTTGTTCTAGTTACTGCGCAAATCGATTCTTGACCAAATATTAAAAGCTATGCTATGCTTTCTAAAGAAGAAGGGATAAGGGCGCAGGGGATTCGATTCTGCAACTAGATCCACTCTTCAAATCATATCCAGAACAAAGAAACTTCCCAGAGGATAAGGACGCAGGGGATACGAGTTTTTGCCGACGAGAAGAGAAGCAGACGATGACGGCAATGACAAGGCGGCGAGCAGGGAGCTGAAGAGCGGGTCGACGGTGAGCGCGAGATGAAGGTCGGGTCGATGGAGATCAGGGGCTGAAGGGCGGGTCGATGGCGAGCAGTGTCTGAAGACACTGGTCGATGGCGAGCAGGGAAGGCAGGGTCGATGACAACGACAAGGCGAGAGTGGAATAGATGAGGTTGGCTGCGGTGGTGAGAACTTTGAGGCGGCTGGGAGAAGACGAGAAGGGGAAAGGGTTTGGGGTGCTTTTGTCGTCAAAATGGCAGATTGGGGTCTAATAAAATTTTATTATGGGTGGTGGAGGGATTCGATCGGCAAACCTCGTTAATGAGGAATGGGAAGAAACCCGTCCCTTTTCTTTTCAGAAAACAGAAAATTTGTGTTTCCTGAAAATTGCTACTATTCCCTATTAATTGATCGGCAATTCTATGGTACCGTTACGGTACTGGTGCCGTCACCTTGTTCTGGCCGGTTAAACAAGATGGTTGGGTTCGTGATTAACTGATTATTGGGTGAGTGATTTAGCTAATCAATTAATAAAACAGAAACATAAAAGAACAAAAGGCAATGAATAGGTAAACTGAGTTCCATTCTTTTTTCACTTTTTTATTCTTTTCTTGGTCCTTCCACTGTGAAGCGAACTGCTCCGGCGAGTTGCACCAGCAATCCACCACCATCATCATCGTTGTCGTCGACCATCATCACCAAGATCTCGAACCCCTCGCCAGTCGAAGTCATCAACCCTGTTATCGAGTCTCATCGTCTCTGCCGCGGAATGTCGCCGTTGCTGCCGATCGACCATCACCACCCAGATCCCGAACCCTCATCGGTGAAAATCACCAGCATCATCATCCCCGATGCCATCGCCTGGTCATCCCCAAATCGTATCTTCCATGGCAGTCCACCATCTGTTGTCGGTGGTCGGCCATCACCACTCAGATCCCAAACCCTCGTCAATCGAAATCGCCATCGTCTTCAAGGGACAGAGGCGACAAGATGATTATATCCAGATTCAACCGGTTTGAAGAGATAAGCGAACTCAATCTCTTCGATATATTTGAGATTTGGGGATACAGAAGCACAATCTCGGGGTTTTAAGATCAATTGATTATTCTACACAATTTCATAAAGAGGCTGCCGTCAATTGCTCCAACTTTGACATTAACCAAATCCATCAAACGTCTATCAAGCTTGATTTTGTTTAAATAATGAAAATAATTATAATAAAATATTTCAATAAATAACAGGTCCAACCCAATTTAATAGGTTCGACGGTTTTGGTTGAATGGTGGTTATTAATCAACGACCCTCACTAATTGCAACAAATCCGACGGCTGAAAAACTGTCGGCACTAATGTAGTGACAGTACCACAGAATCCGCCTTAATTGATTCCCCAAATGAAAACTGATGAATAAAAAGTTAACGCTTTTTTTTTCCTTTCCACTCTTACAGATATGAAATGGAATGAGAAAACAGGAATAGAAATGGTTACTAAATAGGGCATAACGGATCAATTTGAGCTTCATCTGAATTTTGTGCTGCCAAATTGATATTTGATCAAATTGTTTCGTTTTGAGACAATCTGGCCAAATTGATCTGTTTAGCAGCACAAAATTCAGATGAAGCAATTATGTTAGAGGACTTTCAAATTGACTAGTTTTTAGGCAATTATAATTGTTTAGGGTGAGAACAGGCAATTCGAATTGACTCATTTTAAATAAGTCATTTTCAATTGATCCATCTAAATAACCGTATTGACTTTTTGTGCATATTTTTTTTTATATGAATGGTACGTGAACATATTTTTTACATGAATGGTCGAATGTCCCACCTTGGCACAAGAGACTTTGATTACGAAATTGGTGTTGTGCGATGCTGCCCAAAACATGGGATCATGGGAGGATTCGTTTTTGTCCCCATTCCAAAGGGTTTACCTCATTAACCATTATTTTTCTTCCACTACCAATTAATTAAGTGTTACCTCACCTAATATGTCACTCCCAACCTCTATCCCATACATAATAATATAATATTATCATCATCATCATCTTCCTCTTCCTGCCTACTATACATACAAACCAACACCACCTCAATCCCCTCCACCATTAATCCTTCCTTCACCACATTCTAACTAAAAGCCATTACCTCACCTTGAATTTTTAAACCTCAGAAGACCCAGCAAGCAAATGGCAGCAATTAAGGTCGCAGAGCAAGAGCACCCTGTTCCGGCCTTTGGTTGGGCTGCGAGGGACCAATCCGGTGTCCTCTCTCCCTTCAATTTCTCCCGAAGGTGCCTTTCGGTTCAATCTACTGAATATGTTGTGGATCAAAGATTAAATAATCGTATAAGAGATTATACCGCATTAGTCTATCATGACACACGATCGCGGTTCAACCATTTCATACCAGTAAAATGCTACCATTTGCTGTCTCATTTTGTTAATTTGTGCTTTATCTCTGGTTTTCATCCATCCAGGGCAACAGGAGAGAAGGATGTGAAGTTCAAAGTGCTCTACTGCGGGATCTGCCACTCCGACCTCCACATGATCAAGAACGAATGGGGTATCGCCACGTACCCACTAGTCCCCGGCCACGAAATCGTCGGCCAAGTCACCGAGGTCGGGAGCCAAGTTACGAAATTCAGCCCCGGCGACAGAGTCGGCGTCGGTTGCATCGCCGCTTCATGCCGCTCCTGCGACAGCTGCATCAACGACCTCGAAAACCACTGCCCAAAAGCAATCCCCATCTATTCCGGCCACAGCCCCGACGGAACCGTCACCTACGGCGGCTACTCCGATGTCATGGTCTGCGACGAGCACTTCGTGGTCCGAATCCCGGACGCCCTGCCGCTCCAATCCGCCGCTCCTTTGCTCTGCGCCGGGATCACGGTTTACAGCGCATTAAGGTACTATGGGCTGGACCGGCCCGGGATGAACTTGGCCGTTGTTGGGCTCGGTGGGCTGGGCCACGTTGCCGTGAAATTCGCTAGGGCAATGGGGGCCCAAGTAACCGTCATCAGCACTTCGCCGGCGAAGAAAGATGATGCAATCCAAAACCTCGGCGCCGATTCGTTTCTGATCAGCCGCGATCAGGAGGAGATGAAGGCGGCGATGGGGAGGTTTGATGGGATCGTCGATACCGTGTCGGCGGATCACCCGCTGGTGCCGCTGATTGGGCTGTTGAAGACAAATGGGAAGCTGGTTTTGGTCGGGGCGCCGACGAAGCCGTTTGAGCTGCCGGCTTTCCCGTTGCTGAAGGGCAGGAAGATGGTCGGCGGGAGTGGGATTGGTGGGATGAAGGAGACTCAGGAGATGCTTGATTTCGCCGGCAAACATGGCATTGCGGCGGAGGTCGAGGTTATTCCGGTAGAATATGTGAACAAGGCCATGGAACGTTTGGAGAAGGCGGATGTTAAGTACAGATTCGTCATTGACGTTGGGAACACATTACTGAAGAATGCTTGATTAATAGTTGGTTCCAAAATTTTACAAATTTCACCATGGCTGCTTGGCTTTGTTTTGCTTCAAGGACAAGTAATTGAGTAAGCAATAAGAGAGTATGTCTTAAATATGAAAGCGTAAGATAAAATTTCCCGCCAAGGACTGTTAAATATGAAAGCCAGTGCAGAATCACCTCAGCTGTCAATTTCCAGCTAATAGGGTTTGTCACAGGAAGACTAAAGGGGATGCTAAGGTATAGGAGACAGTCGCTTCTGTGCGTTCAATACTTGATTTTCCAGAGCAAGGAGGAATTCGATCTATCAACAGCATATTTCAGTTCAGGTGGCAAATTCTTACTCTGGCTGATTGGATGAGCTGACAACTTTGATCTCAACATGGAAAGCAAGACTCTGTGCCGTGACTGCTTCCTCTTTAGAACTTCAATGTAAGCTTTCATCGCAAGCCAATGTACTTCTGTCTCGTGCAACCGAAGCACTGGACTGGGACAAGAACCGGAAGAAGAAGAAGATAAAGACTGCATCCTTCTCTTTATCAGTGTATGCATATATCTAAGAGAGGGACAACGGCACAAACTCTGAGTAAGAAATTATAGAGAGAGCGAGAAAAGTCAAGTTTGCAAAGCTTGATTGAAGTAGTCATAGGACACAGTATATAATTGTACCTCCAGGTTCCCTGAATCGTCTTCAAATGGGATTCAGCAGGGAATTTGCAGATGTACGACATCTCAGAAACGTAACAATGGAATATCATAGCAGATATCAGGAAGGCCTGGAAGATGTTCAATCTCACAACTGGTGCTGTGTTGATGTTTGAATCAAAAAACAAGGGATGACACTTGGGTATCATGAAAGCCTGCAACTTTTTCTCCATATGGAGTCTCGGTCTCTTGCCCCAGCCAATGGTAAGACGTGACCTCAAATGGTTGTTCAGATACCTGGAATGTTGATTGTACAAGCCAAACATAATCCCCCCAAGCTAAGATATTAGTTTATCGTCATATTTTAAGCACAATGCAGAATAAAGGAAGGCACTTATAGAGGAAAACCACCAAAAACCTGACCTTGTGTAGTCTGCTTGTATTTCCAAAGTGGAAGCATTCAGAAGCAATCCACTCCATCGAACGAATGAAGCTCCATCTTCAGCGACGTAGATCCTGTTTGATGGAGGCGGCGATTCATGTCCAGGATCAAAATTGAGACAGAATTTCTCTGCATTCATGTAGCAGTTGTAGTCTCCAAATCCCTTCTTCAACTTCTCGAAAAATTCAGAAGCCTGATCCTTTGAGGTTGTTATAAGGAGGAAGTCATCAATAAATCTCAAAAGCGCATAGCTTGTCTCTGCATTTCCGCAATAATATTGTAACTGAAGTCTTCTCGATGAATCTTCAATGATGGGTTTGCTCGCTTTCTCAAGGTATGGGAAAATCACTCTTCTCTCAAGGTGCCCATAGTATAGCGAGCAAAGCAGAGAAGACACAATAGATCCCTGAGGTATTCCCATACCTTGCAAGTAAAAGCATTTACCCATCCGCAAAACATTACGCTTGACAAGTTCCTTGAGTACATTCATGACCTCACTTCTGCTCAAGTGCCTTTCTATTCCCTGCAAATTTATGACAAAAAATATATAAATAGCTGTCTCGAGTGATTATACGTTCAGGGCAAAGTGGTAAAAGTTGCAACCTCTATGAGATACCTGATTAACAAGCACACTGCTTATGGAACTGACTGCAGTAGAGCCGCATCTTTTACTGTCGAAGACATTAACTGGCTCAATTAGGCTGGCCTTTTCTTGCACCCACAAAGATTTCTTAGTGCAGAAAACTTGGTTGACGTGTTTCAGAAGATACCCATCTTCACTCAGCACAGCATTTAAGATGCTAACCAATTTATCCTGATTCACAGAGTCAAAAGCTTTTGATACATCAGAAACAACTGTGAAAACATTGGGTAATGATGAGACTGATGGCTTCCTGTTCAGACTCATGATAAATGGGCACAACTTCTTGTAGATGTCATTGTAGTCAAACACCGACGAACCAAACTTCTCTGGTTCTTTCGACCGCATGCCTCTAAGAACAGCATGTGCATCACGAAGTACGCAGTTCACTGGCTTGAAATACTTGTGTCTTACATCCACGTCACTGAGAGAATGGACTTTCCTTGACACTGACGAAGATTGAACATGCGAGGAAGATTCTGAAGCAGACAGTCTTGATGCTGCTTTGAGATTTGCAACCACCCTCATTGAATTCTTTTTGGGAACAAGTCTGAGCTTTGAGAAACCAAATGATCTATTATTTAGAATACCCGAAACTTCAGCTACATTTAGAGTTTGATAATTCTTGTCTTCCAAGCAGGCCATGGTTTGATTCTTCAACGTTTCCCAACTTGATTTCCTATAATAGAAAACTTCTTGCTTCCCAGGCTCACTCTCGGTGATGTAGAAGTTTGCTTGAAGCAAGGGAACTATTATGTTAGAGAAAAACCAAACAATCCATTTCTCTAGCAGTTGGTGTTTGTTGCACAAGATGGGGAAGCTTGATGTCTTCAGTTCATGCATGCATTGCTTCAAATAGAACTTTTCATATCTTCTTAGACGAATAAACTTGGCAATATTTCTCCTTAAGACCCTCCAGCTTGATGGAGTTCCAAGCAAATCAGGAGGAACTATGTTTCTACTAACAGCCCATATAAATGATATCACCTGATGTTTTGAGCAATAAGACTTCATTCCTTTGACCTGGGTATCAGTGGCGGCTTGAGGTTTACTATAGGAATTCAAGTTGGAACTGGAGGAACTGTCACGTCCTTTTCCATTCAGATCTTTGTCCTGAAAGTTGGACACTTCTAGATTAATTTGCAATAGCTATACTCCAGTAAAGGATATCACGTTAACTGAACACCTCTTATTTTTAGCTCTTGTCCACAGTGAAAGATTACCTGACATGAAGAGGGAACGGGACAGTGTTTATCTAATAGCTTCAAGTGATTGCATCGTTGAGTTCGAAAAATTAGGTTCTTCAGCAGTTTAGCAAGTGAATGATGCCTGAGTAGATAAAGAGGGATAAATGTGGTAATAAACACATGTTCATGGATATAAGACTATTGCTAACTAACTTATTACATAGAAGCACTGAAGAATATCGACCAAAAAACTGGTACACTATTCTAAAAAATCCTTTTACAATCCCAACCAACACATGCAGAAAATGATGAGATTGAAGTGCACAAAACCTTAATGTGTAGTGTGAAAAAATTGAAGTGAATGTCCAGAAAAGCTAAAAGTTATGACTATTTATGAGCAAAATGGCATTTAGGATACTTACAGGCACATAGGTCGACTCGAGGAAGAAGCATTACAGTTGGAGCATGTCAGTGATTGTGCACCTCCAGCTACATCAGAGAAGCCAAAAATACTCTGTAGAAGAGAACTAGAACTAGTATGGTTCGGCTTTAAGGATTTCAACACATCTAAATGTTGTTAGTTAAGGTGTTGGACAATGTTATTCCAACAATCAATGAACTGCAGCATAGAAGAAGTCAATCTACCCAGGGTCATTAACACCCATTGTACTTGATTGATATGTCTCTGGTTTCAGCAAGTAATCGAACACTATATGGAATATAATTTTTGAGAAAAGATGAGGATACGCTTCGGGGGAAGAACTGATGAAGCTCCACCATAACAATAGAAGATGGGTTGCCGATTGATCTCAGCTCCTTTAGTAACTGCATGAGCGGATATGACCTGACATCATAGCGCTTGCAACTAAGTATTAGCACTAGCCTGGAGGGTGGATATGGAGCAACATCTTATTATCATATAGGGAAAGGTAAAACAGGAATGCAAAGAGAAATTACCTTTTCATGATAATGATCTGAACTGACATTAGTACATCCAGTATGAGATGTTTTAGAGAACCCAACTTCGCGATTACACTTAATGCTGTAAGAGTTCTCTTCGCCATCTTCTTTAGCAGCAAGGCGCCTTAAATTTCTGCGACGCTGCCACTTACATGACCGCTTTCTGCTACCCAAAACGTTATGCTTGGAGTCCTCAGGGTCATTGTACAAATGATTCTTTTGGCCACTTACCTCTGCCTTGGGAGCATCCATCTGATCACATCTTTTAACACAATGGCTAGTGTGTTGCATCACATTTTCGTCGGTGAATCTTGCCCTCTTCTTTGTGGGTTCTGACCAAAGGAAAGAGTAACCCAGTGAGCACCCTTATCTATGGATTCAGAAGCTATATCAAAAGATAAAATGCTGGATAGAATCAGCTCTAACGTTCTCTAAAATCATAGGAACAGCAAGGTAGCCTTAATTACCAAAACTGTTGGCCAAAGGACGTTTGCTCTGTGATTGTGACTCCACCTTCTGCTTTGACAAAATTTGAAGAGCGAAGTTGCTGGTAGGAAAGCCAGCAACCTGCTGGTATTTCGAGCAAGGAAGTGGCAGAAAGATCGATGCATACTTCAGAAGATAAATCATAACATCATCTCCCACCTGTATTGCAACCCAAATTCAGAGCATTCTACTTAAATCGACAGACTAAAAGGAACCAAATAAATATCATTTGATTGAGTGAACAAACAAACATGATCATACCCGTTCCAGAAGAAGACTCCATCCTTTAGCCGTCAAAAGCTCGGTAATGGGACTTGAACGCTTGAACTGTGACCAATAAAGGGGGGAAAGGTGCATAAATACAAGAAAACTAAGAAATGAAGAAGCATCCAAAGATTGCGACGACATTAAAGTAGACTTTACCTTATCATATCCAACACAGATTACATTACCAGACGCCCGCTTCTGCTGCTTCAACACAGCCTCAATCACCCTTTGAACAATCTGAAAACCACAAAAACAAAACTCCATGAAAACAATAAATCATCGAAAAATACAAAATTCTAGTTCTAAAAGAACCCTTATTTCACCTTATGCTGGGACCAGTGACTGTCCGTACGGAAGTCGCGTAACGGAGGAGCATTGTCGCTGAAGACGACGTAGCTGAAGTTGAGCAGATCCCGGTATTCAGATGGATCATTGGGTCTTAGAAGAAACGGCAAGGCGCTTTCGCCGGCGGTACAAAGGAGGCAGCCGAACGGGCGGGAACCAATGCAGCTGCAAGACGGCGGCGAGGAAGCAGTGGGATGAGAAATTAAGGAGAGTATAGAAGTGGCTAGGGTTTTCACTCTTGTCCCGTACAGTCGTCGGAGGACTTCCGGCACTCTTGGGCTTGGCTTCTTCTTCTTCTTCGTCATTTCTGCAGACGGAGTAGAGAAGACTGAAGAGGGAGCTAGCGCGCCAAGGTGAAAAGCTGGGTTAGTAAAAGATCGAGTGAAATGACGAGTGGTGTTTTGAAATTAGTTTGAATTTTGGAATTTAGTGGAACTGGGCTTATTTGTTGGGCTTCTTGGGCCTTATCATGATTCTTGGGTAATTTAAGGAGACCAGTTTCAGTAATGAAAAAAAAGGTCATAGTTAAATTATATAATTGGTTAGTGTTAGGAAAATAGACCAGATCTTTTAAAAACTATGGATCAAACTGGATCCAATAGTATGGTCCGGATTGTAGATTGTTATAGTATATGGTCTTATATAGGATGTGTTGATATCTTCGTCTAGTGTGATCCAAATCGCGGTTTATCGGATCAAATCGTGTACCCTGTCAACTTCTCAATTCATGTTAGCAATCCACTCGGGCATTCTATCAAATCCCCAAGGAGACCCAAGTCTCAGCCAGAGTTTTGTGAATCTCTTCCCCTCCTTTATTCATAAACCACACTTCACCAAGAAGTAGAGACGACCGTTTCTTCGTATGACGTTATGGTGAAAGTTTGGTTGCTCAAAGTTTGTATTTTGTTATTCTTGGATTGAGGTATCAAAATTATGCATGCATGTTGAAATTTATGTCCTAAGGTAAAAAATGTTTTTCTCAGTTATCAGTTCGATTTTTTGTTGGTTGACTAAATAAATTGTTCATTTTCGCTCAATGTGTTCTGCATGAGATAGACCGTGCTGAACCGTGCTGAACCGTAACAGATATGTGGGGGTCTAGTATAGACCATATAATATTTGGTATGGTCCTGAGTTTGCATTCCAACTTCTCAGTCTAGACCATAGACAATATGTATATTCTAGTCTGCACCAAACCCACTGTTTTCCAATCCTATCGTTGGTAAACAATTTAACTGATGATTATGAAAGTTATCGTATAGTTAGAATAATTTATGGTATATAGACATATACTATTGGCAATCAATTTGACATGAGATCTCAAATGAGATGAACGTATTGAATTTATGTATAGTTAAATTTATAAATATGTATCATTAGCAAGTAATTAGACCATTTACTTATAAATTCATTTGAATACTTGTGGTATATCAAACTACTTGAAAAAATGACATTAGTTGGAATTTCTTATATACTCTCGAATACATTTGAATTACTTATGGTATTTCAAGCTGTCTTTTCCATACATGTGTTCTAAATTGGCATACAAACCTTAAATTAATTAACTATGATGACGATAAGAATGACCTGATTAAACTGAATAATATTTCAAACTTAAAAAAATTAAAAACATGGTATGATCATTTTAATTTTATTATACTTCTAATAAAAGACTTTGCAGTAAATCTTAAGAATTCCAAAACAACGCCTTCAAAATTCATTGAAAAATCTCGTTAACGTTTAACTTTGAGTTCATTGACCACATTGACCCTATGAATGGTGGAGAAGTAAAAAAATGAAATGGATAAATTACAAGATTGGTCACTGAGTTTACTAAAAAAATGTCACGATTGATCTAGAAATATTTTATTTCATTCGTGGTCACTAAAAATTAGTTCAACCATTATAGTTGACCATTATATGAGTGACGTGATAATTTAAAAATAATATTTAACAGTATTCACTCTCTATTCTACAAGACTACATCTACCTCTTATACATGCATAAGAGCATCCTAGTATATGTGGATGACCTCTTGATTGGGGGTCCATACGTCATCTATGCCACCCAGCAAGTGAATCAATACATGTCTAGCCATAGCAACACACACTACAAGGCATTCATACTAATTCTCAGGTACCTTAAATCAGCTCCATCAACTGGCTTGTTCTTCTCATCTACTTCTTCACTCCACCTCAAGGCCTTCAGCGACTTAGTGGGCCTCTTGTATTGACATACGCCGCTCAGTCATGGGTTATTGTGTCTACCTTAGTGACTCTCTCATTTCTTGGAAGAGCAAGAAAAAAATCCAGCATATCCCGCTCCTCTTGTGAAGGTGAGTATCGCGCCCTTGCACACACTGCTTGTGAATTTCAGTGGCTCCTCTATCTCCTCAAGGACTTTCGCATTGCATACCCACAACCAGCGACGATCTTCTGTGACAACCAAACGACCATCCACATCGCCGAGAATCCTACATTCCACGAATGTACCAAACATCGAACTTGATTAGCATTTCATCAGAGAAAACCTCCTCTCTAGCACAATCAAGCTCCTCCACGTCTCCACAATCCATCAACGGGCCGATGTCCACAATTTGTGCCCACCAGTTTGCGCGGGGGGGGGGGGGGGGGGTTCAAGGAAAATTTCATTTTCAAACTCTGTTTTATTGCGTTGTGCTTCGAACAACGATGTCATTTCAGCGCCACAACGGAAGTGGAGCAATTTCGTTTTGGGAAGGGATGACAATCTTTCGAAATAGCACCTACACTTCTTTTTCTGTCCACTTTTCCCTCTTTCGTTATGTACTTTCTTCATACACAAGTTTATCTTCTTCTTTGTTTATGTAAGAGTTGCGAGAACCACATGCTCCAACTATTTAAGCTTTAAGGATGAATGAAAAGAACTGGTTAAATCCTCACAACAATAACAAAGTGTTGTTAGTTCAAGGAAATTATCTACTGCAAATGGAAATCAAACAACATAGAGACCCGGTGGAAGCTGCAGCGGTGACCACGAACAATATAAGTTTCAAAGTCATTTTAGTGAATTATAATTATTTTTTATATTTTTTTATATTTAAATTATTTTTATAATAAGGTGGAAATTGTAACATATTAAATTGTATTATTTATTATTTTAAATTACCAAATCATTCATTTAAAGGTTCACTATAATAGTTGACTGTCACATCAGATAAATTTAATGGATGTGATAAAGTTAAAGTTTTGAATTAATTTTGGTGACCACAAATGAAATAAAATGTTTCTAGTAAACAAATATGACTTTTTTTCAATGAGCAACTTGCCATTAATCCAAAAGGAAATGTATAGAACTGAAAGGAAGATATCTTATGCAAAAACTGGTAACAAGACAAAAGGGCGACTGAAGTGAGTTGCATTGCACATCCTTCCAAAACCTCTTCTTCCATGCATTTAACTCGACTTTCGACTAACGAGTGGTGGCAGTGATTCTGAAGAAGCCCAAGTTATAAACAGGCACACAGACAGCTACTAGCTAGCTCTTCAATTACTCTCTTCATTCTGGATAGATATGGTGCTGACAAATATTTGTCCTTTTGCCACTGCACCATTTTCAGACGCTCTGCCAAGTTTGATCAAACAACTAAAGCTGAAAACCCTCGCCTTGTTTCCTCTTTGGAAAGACAGCAATAAATGACTCAGATACACTAATCAATGGATGAATGGAAGGAGAATTTTGCTCCTATTCTTATAATAGGGTTTCTGTTCAGATCATTAAAGATTGTTCCAACAACTATGAAGTTATTGGATGTACACGAAACAATTACGTAGAAAATTGTTACGACTTGTATCAAACAATTATGAAATATAAAGACATAATCACGTTAATCTCATAAAGATCAGCGGTGGATCCAGGACATAGTAGAGTACTGGGCCGCATTTCATTATAAAATTAGATACCACAAAAAATTATAATTTTTTTTACAATATCAATTATACACGACGATCTTTTAATATAGTGAAATCTTCAATAAAGGAGTCTACATCTATACTAATCGCATACTACTCTTTTTCAAATAAAATAGTTAACCAATCAGTGAGAAATTCATCGCTCATTTTGTTGTGTAAATCATTTTTCACATGTTTCATTGTTGAAAATGTTCTCTCCATAGTAGTTGTTGAAACGTACAATGTCAACACTAGACAAATCAATTGACTAATCAATTTGTATCGTGTAGCCATCCCTATTTACACCACCAGCTCTAGTGATTTTTTCAAGTGAACAAATCTGATATTTCTTTTAGCTTTTTACGTTTTAGACTTTTAGAATTTTAGGTTTCATTGTTTGTTTTTCTTTAGACGAGACTCATTTGAGCTAGAATTTCTAGACTAAATTTAAAGTTATGATTTGAATATGGTCATCCTACCCATTTTCCTAATTACACACAATTTTATTATAAAATAATACTAGACCAAATGACTAAAATTGATAAACGCATAAGGGCTATACTAGTTATGGATCCAGAGGAGGGCTGGGCCATGGCCCGGGGTGGCCACCCCTGGATCCGCCACCGATAAAGATGTTAATCGTGTATAGAATAGAAGATTCACTATATATTCGGATACATGTTTTATTTTTATCTTCACTTTTTTTTTCTTTTGGTTTTCTTTCAACTGGTACATTGGAGAGATCAAGGTTGTCAACCCGCGGGTTGACCCGGACCCGGTCGAGCTAGTTGGTCAAGGGTTAATGGGTCAACCGTTTTAGCTCGGTTTGGCCCGAAAATATAGAAAAAGTCATTATATAGTACTTATCCTCATAAATTATATCAAATCTTATCTAACATATGACTTATAACATATAATATTACACCAAAATAACATATCGTACTTAGATCCAACATATAGTGAGATTTCACACACACTTATTTAACATAAATATTCAAATGTTCAACTTAGGATTCCAAAGATTGAATTAGGCGAAAAGAAAAATCGGAAAATAAGCGCATTTCGCAAACCAAAAAAAAAACACAATTTGACCTCCAACCCAGTACCTTGTAGCGGTCGGCCCGACGGGTGCGTATGACCCGTTTTTCTCACCAGGTCAGAATCAAAGTGGGTCGACCCACAACCTTGGAGAGAATTCATAAGTAGGAAAGTTAGGCATTGGACGTTCGCTATCTCGTACCTTTTTGTACAGGATATCTTGAGAGGCACCATGTCCATTTAAAGGCAAGCAGCAGACAGCACCGGGTCTCTTTCTCACAAGCTAAAGTCCCCTTCAGCCACTATTCATCTTCTAAAGTATGTATGTGATATTTTACATTTAATTTCCCCCTAATAATATTAGTGTTTGCAAAATCGTACGGTATTGACAGTCTGACTGAAGAAATTGTTTCTTGGAATTTAAATTAATGTCATTCTAGCAATATGAAATAATTGAACACAATTAGTGACGGATCTAAAAATTTTATATAAGAGTGTTCCCGTCCAAAATAAATATAATAATTTTAAATAACAATATATAAATATCTAACTAGTGCAAGTTATAACAAAAACTCACTATATATTTTCATATTATGAAAAAGTTATAAAATACACTCACTTTCTATAGTGTTCAACAAATCTATTT